CACTTTTGAATTTGGTTCGAAAGGATAAACCCAGATATTTCATTGGTAGGCTTCTCACTTTGCAACCCATCATATTGAAAGATGTTAAAGAGGGAAGTAAATCAGGTTAAAGGGTATAATAGTTAATGAGAAAGTAAAGTAAGGTGTTAAAAAGATAGCAAATCAGGTTAAAAGATATGAGGGTAAATTACACATTTTGTAATTAATTAACTTTTTTTTTTTAATTCTAGAAAACTTGTATATATAGGGTTATAATATTTAATAGAATACGTATTAAACTATTCTTAGGATGACTACTTGTTGGTCATATACTCAAGCTTTGTCTACTTACAAATGAATTTAAGTTAATTGCTGGATACATGGATCATAACTTCTAAGACTTAGTGATATCGGGACCACCGAACTCTTTATTGAAGTTTTGGTTGGCCTTATTGGGTTCCACAGTTTTGATCTGTCATTTTGTCCTGATACCGAGTCACAAACCTCGAAAACTATGACACTTAAAAATTTTATCATTGCAGATCATATGCTTTAACACCTGTATATGAGGCTGCCACTAGGCCCATTGAGGAAGCTGCCTCAGTGAGTACAACGAAGATTGATCCTGATGAACCTGACAGCCGAGAAGTTACCCTTCCTGGTGTTAATCTGCTTTTTGATGGTTCTGAGTTGCATCCCTTTGATATCAGTGCTTGCCTGCAGGCTCGTCAACCAATTTCCTTAATAGCAGAGGCTGCAGCATCCTCTGCATCTGCTGCTATTAGATAGAGCTTCCAGGAACTTGCTTCAGTGGTGTGAAAGGACTTTCTCTCAGTACTCCAAATAGCAGTCGCTAGTTAGTAAAAGGCTTGTTGCCACGACTATTCTGCTTGCTTTCTTAATCTTTGTGGTCAATTGAAAGGAAGATTGCTGATGTCTAAGGTAAGTATCAATTACCCCTGATATGGTTGCTCCCACTGGCATAGCATTTTCAATTGGTTGTATCCTTTTAGGGGACATGCTGGCAAAGTGCCATCTGTGATTTGAGCAACAGTTGACATATAATATTGTAAAGAATCTCTCTCTCTCTCTCTCTCTCTCCAATTTGGTCAGCAACAAGAGAATTTTCTCTCAGGAAAAGGAAAAAGGTTGATAATAGTAAAGCAAGCCTAACAGAAACATTTGTTGACATTATTCAGCAAGTACTTGTGGAGTCCATGTGAATCCTCTTACACAGGAAATTTTTTTTTGCATACAAATAGGTGCAACTTTGAGTGGAGGCTAACATTTTCTTTCATTCGAGGTCTTGAGTTGTGCTGTCTCTACTGGAATTCCCTCTTTTTGGTTACTTTTCTTTTGGCTAAAATATTAAATTGGTTCATGTACTATGTTAAAATATTTAAATTAATCTTTGTACTTTCAAAAAGTTTTTGTTTTAGTTCCTGACTGTTTATGCATGCTAGCAATGTTAATGGATTTGCCATGTGGTAGTGAGTTGGATACTTGATTATTTTTGGTTTGGATGAATTGACATTTGGCGTGAAAACTAATTTATTTGTGTGCATTAATGACCAAAGACTAAATAATTTTTTTTTGGAAGTACTGGGATCAAAAGTGCAAAAAAAAAAGCATAAGAACTACTTTGAATAGTTTAAAATAGGATAAGGACCAATGTAGCATGGTCATGTTACCTGTTTCTTTTTGTTCTTTTTAGCTGTAGCTATGGTCATGTTACCGTTTTCTTATTTTACATGTTTTATACCTCATCAATGAGTTAGGTTGAGTTCCTTACCACCTCTCCTTGTTCAGCGCAGGTGGCATTTTGGAGTGTACAAGGTTTCTGATGAATGTGTTTCTCCAGGTTAGTATGTAATGAAAAGTAAAAATAATTTTTGGGGATGATAATTTGATGTGAAAAACAGTTTTGATCCCCATATTCTTTGTTTAGCGAGAAGAGGACAAAACTCATTCTGGCATGTGATACATGAGGAGCCAGTTGAGACCGAAATAAAAAAGAAGAAAAAGAAAAAAAAATGTATGGTGTAAAATGAGATGTTTATTCTTCCAAATTTCTGATTTATATGTTAGTTCAGATGTAATTGGCAATTGATGTAATTGCCTTGATTGTTATTTGAAAAAATGAATAGTAATATTTGTATCACAAGCTATGTTCATCTTTCTTTCCTTGATTTCTTCTGCAAAGACTTTCTTTCTAATTTACCATATAATTGATAGTTTGCATAATCTAATATGAATATATGTAGTTTAACTGTATAAATATAAAAACAAGAATTTAATTTAAAATAAAATTGAAGAAATATATTTTCATTATAGAAACTAGTTTCTTTTTAATGTGTCAGCACAATTTTGAAGTTGGTAAATTAGTTGCCATTTATTTTACACTACTAATTTATCTTTTTGATTTTTGACTTAGCCCACAAAGAATTTCCTAGAACTTCGCCCGCTTCTGCTAGTTGGATCACATGGTTAACATGAAGAACTGGCGTATAATTGAAAATCTCTTTAATAATTGAAATATGTCGTCATTTAGTTTTAACTGGATTGAACTGAATTAGGATCAGTGAAATTTGTAGTCCAGGAATTTTTGGACCAAATACCTAATTGAACATTATTTGGTCCAATCTGTTCTGGAATGAACTCGCTGGTTTAACATAGTTTTTTTGATTGAATTTGATAATATTTATCTTTATATTTTTTTTTTAACTTTTTATGGTAAAGAGACTTAGACTCAAAAGAAGTATTGCGTTGACTATATCACATATATAAGGATTTTTTTTTAATACAATATAATATATATATATATATATCTTGTATTAACTAGAGTTAAAAATTCAGCTTCTAATTTGAATTAAAATTTCAACTTTTTAACTTATTGTGGGTGGAGAAATACTCGAATGAGCCAAAGCTATTATATGTATAAAGATTTTATGAGATATAAAAACATATTTGATATATTTTGAGAAAAAAATCTTAATATATTCTAATTCAAGAGGAAGGATATTTTTTCAGTAAGATATGATATTTTTTTCGACTATACAAGGAGACAGGTGTCCATGTCAAATGGAAATATGGCGAGTCTCGACTCTCGCGCATCCGTTCACGTGGCGGACACAGAACGCCACTCTCTCTCCAACGACGCTTTGACATCCTGTCCCGCTCAGAAGGATCACGGGGAAGTCTTTCCCTTCCATTTCCAAATACTCACTCACTGAAATCTCAATATATAAGCTGAAAAATC